TGAAACGCTCGTGCATGGGCGCAGTTTTGCAAAGAGAGTTGGGGGTGGTCTCATTTGTGAATAGTGAAGCATCCTATCCCCAAAATAGGCCAACAAATGTTTTTTTTTATTTGCCCCACTTTCTTCCCAAACTGGGGGGAGAGGCGGAGAATAAGAAGCTACACCCCTGCGTTCCTGCTGAAATGCCGGAGGGAATATTCTATGCTTGATGGAGGGCCTTGTGTGGTAGTTATGTCCAGTGATGTTAACGTCAATGATGCGGTAAGATCTGCTGGCAATCTGTCCGTTGTTTGAAGATGGGTCTGCAATTTCAGGGTCCGGTTGGTTTTTTCTGCTAGATAAAGTTTCAGGAAGAAGACACGCGAACTAGATTTATTTTGCTGTGTGGAAACAACAGCAGTCTGGAAACACCAGCCAGTCATATTTGAGAGTGGTTGACGTACTCAGCGACTTGCCTTGTATAGGTGGCGTTACAGTCGAGCTCCCTGTGAATAAGCGGCGCTGCCACCGCGCGTCGCCGTAAGTAACACCGTAAGACAATCGCCGACGTGACCCGCAGGCCACGCCGCCATTGTGACGGGGCCAGCGAACCTGACGCGCATGGAGGCGACGCGGGCCGTGTTCACGTGCGAGGGCCGCGCCCGGCCGTCCAACTTCAGCCTGCGCTGGCTCCGAGACGACATCCCCGTGGAGCAGCACAGCGGCCTCGAGAAACGCTTCAAAATCTCGGGCAACGGCTCGCTGGTGATCGACCCGGTAGCGGCGGAAGACGCCGGCATGTTCACCTGCGAGGTCTCCAACGGCATCGGCAGGCCGGAGCGGGCCTCAGGCTTCCTCGAGGTCCAGTGTAAGTGAAGGGAAGCGGACCAGTGGGCACCAGGCTCGAAATCACTCCTTCGCAAAGGCTAGACAAGCAGTCATAAAGTTCTCTTCAAACCTAGCACGAAAAGTATTTGAGGCTGAAGCGTTGAGATTTGGATGCATTTGTTTAAAGTGCATTTATCAATAGACGAACATTTTAACACATGCTGTAATAATTTATCGCCTGATTCTAAGAGAGCATTTTTATGCACGTCTCCCAACCGTGCAGTTCAGCCCGTCGCAAGAAAATGTTGATAGTAATGCCACCAACATCGGGTCAGTGAATTGACTGTATCTGTATGCTATTATCTAAGGTGAACTGATTAAGTGTGAAATGTCCCCACGCATGTTCAAACCATTTTAAGACCAAACCATTACCGAAGGCTCGTTTCCATGCTGGATTATTCAGCTGTGCAGTTCGTATGTCGCGAGACATGCTTTTCAAACAGGCAGTCACAGACTGAATTAAATGCTTTCCCACAGACATGATTTATGAAGTTTAGTGTCACATTTTAACCGGCAGTTGATCTCCCTGGCTTCTTCCATTCAAGGTTTGAATTTAAAGGTGACGTTTCTGTGTGCACAACATCATATTTCATTCTAGTTCAATGCGATTCAATATCGATGTGATGCGCCGTGCCATGCAACAGGCACGAATATTTGGTACGAATCGGAAGCGCTAGAGAGTTGGAGTGCCAGAGTGCCATGCAACAGTCACGAATAGTCGGTACGAATTGGAAGAGCTAGAGGATTCTATATTTGCCCGTTGACATCTGTTTTTAACAGTTGTAACATTGGCCCTCACGCTACAACCGTATAACCTCTTGTCCCCCTTCCCCGCCGTCTTGTGGTGAAAGATGAAAAACTTGCATTGGGCGGGGGTTGAAGGGAATGCTTCATATTTGAAGATATTGAGGCAAACATCAGATACGACGGAAAAGCGCCATTGTAACTATTGGTATGCTTGTAAGTGCGAAGACTGCTCCAGCAGCCAAAATTTCACTGCTCAGTAAACATGCTTCCCATTACGTCATCGCTTGGTCACGTCATGTAGCATTTGTATCACGTCAGAGTCGCTGTGAGACTGGCCGTGTCAAAATTGCCATTTTGGTGGGCAGACTGTGGAAATTCTTCTTTTATTTCTGATAAAAGCCGATAACTAATTAAAAATTTCCCAAGTCTAGCTCCGCCTTTTTGTTCCAGCGCTCGCCATGCGCCGGGCACAGCCGCGATAGTGCCCCGTGCCGTCTGAGTGTGACCTGTGACCTGTGACGTGCTTCAGACGCGGCTCACGTGCCATACACGCCTTCGGTGCAGTATCTGCCGACCGGGCTGCAGGGCGTTATACGCTGCCACATCAAGTCCAACCCTCCCATCCAGTTTGTCACGTGGTTCCGAAACGGGCGGAAGTACGAGCCGGAGAACGTGCCGGGCGTCACGCTGCTACTCAACGGCTCACTGCTGATAGAGTCGGTGAGTCAAGCCTCGTGTCGCTGCTCAGCTAGTTTGTGGTCTCCTATGCTGTGAAGCATTTCGCCTTTATCCGCATTTTCTTAGTGATTATTTCGTGGCACTAGTATTCGTGGCACTAGTATTCTGTTACATGAGACAGAACGAGATGTTTGACAACGCGGTCGCCCACTTTAAGCTATAAGGGTGAAACTTGACTAGCTTTAAAGTGAGGAGATTATATGTCTCGGATGCGCCACTCCTGGTGTCCCCCCCGAACGGACAGCCGCCTGCGCGGTTTTATCGAAATGGGTCACAGTGTGGACGGTGCCTCGGGCTGTGTCCTTTGCGCGTGTGGCGAATATGAACACGGATATTTTGATCTTGTGGTTTGTTGGGCAGCCATTGATGAGGATCGCGGTTGTGATGGGGGAGGTGACTTATGACTGCCTGGCTGTAAGACCACAATATCATCCCCTGTCTGTCGCCCTCGCCCGAGCCGGGTGTGGCCTGGACTGTCGTGTGGAACTCTGATCCACTGGGGATGTTCCAAGACAGAACTTGGAATGGCATTGCTTCGTATACGCATTTTCTCGTATCACATTCCTTTGTAAATGCGATTATCGGCGTACGCAATTGTTCGCATCGCTTGTTTCATGGCGGTTAGCAATCCTGCGTGTCGCATATTTCCGTCGTGCGGGCATTCCTGTATATCACATGGCGTTACACACGCCTGTTTTCTGTCTGGTAGCGCCTTCGCACGAGCATTTATCATGCCTCGTTTCTCCTGCATACACTATCAACTTCGTATTATTAATATTTGCAATTCTCTGGCTGGGCCCAAATGCCGTGTGATGGTCAGAGATGCATAGTTACCGCGTAAGGCGTTCTTACTCTCAACATCACAGTTGCGCGCGCATGTTGTGCTGCAAGGCACACGAGCATCCCTGTCAACTGAAAACTATATGAGACTGACACGACCAAACGTGCGCACCATGTGACTGGCACGCACCTCATCCCCTTAGCCTAAATTTCGGATGTCTTTTTTGTGCACGTATTCTTTTGCTGTTTTACTAAATGCAATTTATTGTATTGCATTTACAGCCTACACAAATGCGCGACGTTCCGTAATCCGGATGTAATTGATACCAGCCAGTGTGTCCACGCGATAGCGCTCTGCCAGACCGGCTTGCATCGGCGGTCGTCTGCTATTTTGTTTTTAACAAACTGTAACCAGTCAACATCGTGAAACCAACGAGATGACGGCGAGATCAGAGATAAGTGATGCCAGATGGAAAAATGCCGCAGTATGCGATGATGTGCGTCTAGCCCAACGTCCAGTATGTAAAGCTGATGCAAAGGTGTCATCGTCATCCTTGTTCGATGTTTGCGTCATTTAAACACCGGACCTTTTTTGTCGTCTGTAGCATTGTGTCTGGCACTGTCTAGTCCCGTCATTTGCGTCGTCTGAATCGGGCGCGGCAGCGTCCATTTTCCCGCGAGAGCTGGATGCGGTGTTGTCCGTGGTCTGGTCATTTTCCCGAGTGAGCTGGCTGCGGTGTCGTCCGTTGTCTGGCTGGAACTGACGGTGGTTCCATCTGTCGTCTCTGGTGGTTCCATCCGTTGTCTGGCTGGAACTGACGGTGGTTCCATCTGTCGTCTCCGGTGGGTAGGCTGTGGCGCCGCCCTTTGTCAGGTCTGAACTGACGATGGCTCCATCTGTCGTCTCGTCTCCGGTGAGCAGGCAGTGGGGCTGTCTGTTGCCTGGTTTGAACTGACGATGGTTCCATGTATTGTCTTCCGTGGCCAGGCGGTGGCGCTGTCCGTTGTGCGGTTTGAACTGACGATGGTTCTATCTATCGTTTTCGGTGAGCAGGCGGTGGCGCCGTCCGTTGCCTGGTCTAAACTGACGATGACTCCATCTGTCGTCTTCGGTGAGCTGGCCGTAGTACTATCTGTTGTATTGTCTGAGCCGGCCGCGGCGTCCGCGCGCCCGCAGGTGCGGCACGAGCACCAGGGCACCTACCGCTGCCGGCCGTTCAACCAGCACGGCTCTAGCGGCGAGTCGGGCGAGATGCAGGTGGTGGTGCGCGAGCCGCCGCGCTTCGTGCTCCGGCCTAAGAACCTGTACCAGCGCAAGGTGCACGACGCCATCCAGATGCCTTGCGTGGTGGAAGGCTCGCCTGCGCCCCAAGTCATGTGGAGGAGGGTACGTCCGGCGCCCACACCAGCGGCACAGTCAGTCGTGCTCCCAACGGCTTTGGATGATCCCTGAGTCTCGGGCGTCTGTGAAGCTTTGCACCTTATGTAGGATGGATGAATGGGTCGCCTTGCGGTTAGCGACCCCAGCTGGGTTGAACCCGGGCCACATGGCCACTGTGGTGGAGTCACTGGGGAAGAAGTCGCTGAGTCTCTCTGTCTCTGTCTCTCTGTATGCCTGTCTGTCTCCCTCTGTCTCTCCCGCTGTCTTTGTTTCCGCGCCTGTCTCATTATATAGCGCATGTTTTGTAGTATGTCTTGTTTCTGCATTCTCGCTGAGCCTCTGCTACGGTTTGCTGGCAGCATGACAACCAGAGCCTTCCCAGCGACCGGGTGTTCATCAACAAAGGCAACATCACCATCAAGTCGCTGCGAAAGTCCGACTTCGGCTACTATGAGTGTGTGGCAAGAAGCAGTGTGGCGACCATTGTCACCTCAACACAGGTCAGGCCGCCACAGTCGAGGTCGTGCGCTACACCCAGGTTCACCCGTCTCTATCTTTGGCCTGCTAACGATTACTCCAGAATGGTATTAACGTGACGTTCAGGGGAAGAGGAGCGCCGGCTAGCTGTTGCAGTTCGTACCTTTGATGTTACAGTAATACGGTATTTAGTATGCATAGGGTGTCTGACAAGATTTAGACGTCGCAATAAAAAGCTCGTAATTGCATTTGCGAGGAGCATTATGCATGTAGATTTGGCAGTTTTAAAAGCCGTATTCCTTATAGAATAACCAGGAGAATGGAGAGATATATAATATATGATAAGCCAGTTGTATCTCTGTATTTTACTGGTTCTTCTACGAGGAATAAGGCTATTAATACTGCTTATCTGTATTGAAATAAGAACACAAAGCATCAACTGCTTGTCAACGATGATTCTTAAAACTTACACTCGCCTCAGCATCCGGGAGGCAATGTTTAGGCTTACACTCGCTTCAGCATCTGAGAGGCAATGTTTCATTCAGGATTTAGGACGCTGGCATGTCATTGGAAGGCATGCCCACCCAAGAGCGTGTCGAGTTTACGTGAGGAGGCGTCTCCATGGCGTTCAGTGAACCGATACATGACTGGGCTCTTGCTCTCGCCTACGTAAAACTCGACTTGCCTGTTCATTTTACCAAGCCTGCTCGCGATTTTGTACACCACGTTTTGCCATAAAAACCATGGTCACCGGCAGGGCAGCGTTGACGGCCCGATGGGCAGGACAGTTTAGCGAAGGCTGATCACTCCAGGCTTTGTTTCAGGGTGGGTTGATCACTCCAGGCTTTGTTTCAGGGTGGGCTGATCACTCCAGGCTTTGTTTCAGGGTGGAGTGATCACTCCAGGCTTTGTTTCAGGGTGGGCTGATCACTCCAGGCTTTGTTTCAGGGGGGCTGATCACTCCAGGCTTGTTTCAGGGTGGGCTGATCACTCCAGGCTTTGTTTCAGGGTGGACTGATCACTCCAGGCTTTGTTTCAGGGTGGGCTGATCACTCCAGGCTTTGTTTCAGGGTGGACTGATTACCCCAGGCTTTGTTTCAGGGTGGGCTGATCACTCCAGGCTTTGTTTCAGGGTGGGCTGATCACTCCAGGCTTTGTTTCAGGGTGGGCTGATCACCCCAGGCTTTGTTTCAGGGCGGGATGATCACCCCAGGCTTTGTTTCAGGGTGGGCTGATCACCCCAGGCTTTGTTTCACGGTGGGCGCGCTAACACGAGCCACTCTGATACGTGCTTTGGACCTCCTGAGTGTTTCGTTTACCCGCCGAGCTGCCTTTTCATTGACGTATGAGATGCTCGTGTCAAGTTGACGCCAGTCGGTTAAGAGTGTGTCTCAGACCGTTTTTTAGGGTGATGTGTAGAAGTGGTGGCACGATTGGTTAAATACTCGGGATAGCCGTTTTTGTGCTGAATAAATCCACCTTGCGCCTGAGGCTGCGGTAAATGGCTGATTTATGGGCCACCTGCGAAGGAAGAACAGCTTGTTATGCTCATAGGATGGGCTAAGTTGAAGTGGAGGATAGCTGAACCTACCATCGGCTGGCAGAAAGGCCAAGTAGTGAACTATCTTAAAGGGTGCCCAACGACCAAAACATAGATGAATGATAAACGTTTTGGTCCAAACGTATGGTGGGTCCCATGGATATGGGTCATGGTTTGGTCCCATGGTCAGTCGAATAACGGGATTATGCGAATTATCATGTTCAGGAAATGTGTGTTTGTTCTGGGATCGGGCTTCCTTCAACAAACTGTGATTGTGCCGAGACCAAAACAAATGAATCAGTCCATATCAGAAATTTGACGGGAGCCTTAAACACAATGACTTGTTCCCAGCCTTTGGCGTCATTTGTTGGGTTGCATGCGATTTGGTCACCATCGCAGCATGGACATGTAGGGTCCGTCAGCTAGAATCCAGTGTCTGACCTTAGTCACCCTGTTTATCACTGCTCTGACTGGTCCCCGTGTACAAGGCGTTTCATGATATATTTTCGAAACATGTTTGATGTGACGTATTATCTCCAGAACGGCAGTGGGTAACAATGCTGGGCGAGTGTGAGTGTGCGTGCATGTAAAACTGTGTTCGGAGGAAAGGGAAATACTTCAGATCACTTGAGGTCACTGGAGGCCGAAAGCACGTCGTTCATATCGCCTTGTTTTCATGTTTAAAATCTTAGCATTGGCGTGCAGTTAATCAAATGTGTTCGTGGTACAAAATCGTATTTGGGTTGAGCTGCTTAATGGTGTTTTCTTTAAGCAGTGCTTTGCAGATGTGTATTGTGTATGAACGCTTGTGCCGGTAGAAGTTAAACAAATCCTAAACCTTCCCATGTTGTGAGGTACACGATTAAAATTGTTTTATAACAATCCGAAGAGCACCGCTGTCTGGCATTGTTCAGGTCCGAAGAGACGGCGAGCCCAGACCGGGCCCCATCAGGCCTTAAGCGCCATCGTTTCAGTTAGTGCCTGCTGGGTGTAAGCCCCGTGGGATAAGATTTCATGTTGTATTTTGGATGTGGTCCCTGCAAATAGACGTTTGGTAGATATTTGCATTTGCGATGGTGCAGTATGTCAAACCAGATCGGTAACCACGCGTGGACCGTCCCAATTCGTCGATGACACCACGATGACACCACGATGACACTACGCGTGATGCACGACAAATTACTTTGGATTTGCTGCAGTTGCAACATTCGCACGTGAAAAGTATTTCATAGGACTCCTTGAAAAATCGGGCAAGTACCCATAGCTGTTTACCTCTTTATCTTACAAATGCTTAAGTACATCCTATGGGAACAGCTGGTTAGATTCGTGTAGAACCACGATTTTAACTGCGCTACAATTGTTTCTAAACGTGGCCATGAGTCTGGGCTGCACTGTCGCGCCATGGCCACTTGGAATATGTACCAAAATATGTATTTTCAAGGATAATGCTTAAAATACATCTAAGCTAATGGCGGTCCTAGGGATGATCGTGACTAGGCCTTTCCTTTTGAATCTCGAGAAACGCCGTAGCGAAGATCGTCTCGTGGTTTTTATGTCAACGTTAGCATGCATTCGTTGGTCGCGGTGCTGGTTCTGGACATTATTATGTGTTCGTTGGTAGCGGTACAGGTTCTGGACATATTCTCCCGTGCACGGGTCTGACGGCGCGTCGCGTCGCACGGCTCAGCCAGCGACGCTGCCCGTCGCCCGCCCCTCCCCCTGTCCCGCCCGCGCGGGGCTCGTCATTCATCCGCGTCATTATTTTGGCAACGCTCCGCCGCTAAGTCGTTTGTCGATGTCCACCAGACACGCCGGAAGTATGTTAAGGAGCCAACAGTCAGTGGATAGGGTATCGGTTCTTGCCCAAAAGCCATCTCGTACAGCTGAGGTCTAATAGGTTACGACCGGCCCCTGCCCCATCCCCATGTAGTACAACTGACGTTTAATGGGCCACGACCGTCTCCCGCCCCGGGTTTGGAGCAGCTGGCATCTAATGGGTCTCGACTGGCTCCTGCCCCATCCTCAGGTAGAACAGCTGGCGTCGATTAGGTCACGGCCGGCTCCTGTCCCGTCCTCACGAATAGGTCACGGCCGGCTCCTGTCCTGTCCTCACGAATAGGTCACGGCCGGCTCCTGTCCCGTCCTCAGGATAAGATAACCTCACTCGTGACTATTGGTATAATTGCAAAGACTGCTATAGACAACGGAATTTTTGGTGTGGTAAGTGTGCTCCTCGAAATGTCATTGATTGCGCCATGGCGCGTTTGTACTCCGTCGAGGTGCTGCCAAACTGACCATGCGAAATTGCCACCCTGGCACCCATATGAAGTACTTTAATTTACCAAGAGATGACGGTGGCGGTGCTGGAAGCGTCCGTTGAGCCAGATATCGTTATATGCTCGTGTTTTGGTCCTTTCTGGCGGTGTTCCTGCATGTTTATCCGTGAGTTTAAGATGCTTACTTGTTTTCACATACTCGATTACGGCGCTATTCTTAACTTATTGGATGGCAAGCCTTATTTCCGTAAAAAACTGGCAGCCATGTGCACTTCCTACACTGTGCGGCACAAAACGCGATACGCAAGCGGGGATTGCGCAGCTTGCCCATAATTGCTTGAGAGCTAGTTGGCTTCTTTTATATGTGGAAGTCGTGGTCGCGAATGTTGGATTGGACGGTGAGACGGAGATGATTGTACCGGTATTGTTACTGTGTCGTGCATGCGTAACTGGCGTTGAAATAATCTGCGCGTCTTCGAGCGAGTGTGGGTCAGGAACTAGAGTGTCTGAAGTCTTAGCAGTGGGATGGCTGTGAACTGCACTGATTGATTTTCAAGACTACTTCAGCTTAAACCTCATGCATATAAGGAACACTGCCCTTGAAGCAAATTTTGAATGGCAGGGAACGATATCAAATGTCTCCGAAGCTGTCGTTGTTGAATAAATGAATATTTATTGAAACGCTTGCATTTATGTGTGTTTTTTTTTTGGCCTCTGCTCATTTCATTCTTCATTCGTTTATTATGATCCAGAGTGAGAATCGGAATAAGCAACATAGACTTGCTACTACCAAATATCGATTCAGCTCACCCGGTACGAAAACTACCTTTGATTCGGATTACGGGATTTCCTGGTGCTTTTAATTAGAGATGTGAATCGAACACAGGTCTGCTGTGTTTTAACCAAAGCCGGAGTGTGTGTGTCAGTTTCAGTTCACGTGACCGTCTCGCGTTGTTACGCCTCCCGTTTCAGCGCTAATTCCGGAGTAATTATGTTTGTTTTCCGGGACGGAGGATCCTCTTTAGTCGAGCTCCTCGCTTTCATGTACGTTCTGCCTACCGTGGTGCCAATTTAGTTGTGGGCTCAGGGCTCGCGGAGGCTAAGTGCTGAGCTCTAAAGTATTTTATTCACCTTCTTGGCCCTCTTGCTCGCGAACCGACTTCTCGTCTCGTGGGATGGAACTTCGTAAAACGTTTGGAGGGGGGGG